CACACACACACACACACACACACACAGATAAAGTTACTACAAAGGAGGAAAAAAGAGGCCAGCTGGCTTCAGACTTCTTCCCAGATTCAGTGGTAGAAGACAATGGAGCAATACCTACGTTCTGAGGGCTGTAAACTCAGCCAAGATATGGTTAAAATCTAAACATGCTAGGCATGAAAGAGTGAAATAAATATAGCTCCCACAAGTTGTTCCGTCTCAATGATAAAATCCAGACAACCAAGAAGTAAACCAAGAATTCAGAAATACAGAGAAGCCATGGTCTGAAGTTTATTTGTCAGCAAATAATCCTTTTAAGTTTGAGCAATAACTAAACAGATAAACAAGCTGATGATTAATGGTTGCAACACACAATGTGGATATTGTAAATTCTGACAAAGTAAAAATAATTTGAGCGATAAAAACTGGGAGAAGCGGAGTTGCGAACAAGTATACACAGCTAACCTCCCCTTGCAGCGCCGAGTCCACTGATAATGTCTAAGATTGAAAGAGATAAGTTTTAAAAATGGCAAACAGAACACTTGACCTAGGAACTTCACTCCTAAGTAGCTACCTAAGAGAAATGAAAGCATGTCCATATACAAGCTCACAACAAATGTCCACAGCAGCATTACTCATAATGGTGAGAAAGTAGAAACAACTTAAAGATCCACCAACAGACAAATGGATAATTTGTGGAATAGACATATAATAAGTAGTGCTTAGCAATAAAAACAAACGACGTACTGATACATGCCACAGCATTCATAAAACATGAAAAGGGAAAAGAGGCCATTACTACGGACCATATACTGCAGGATTCTATTGAAGTGAATATCCAAAACAAATCCAGACAGCCAGAAAGTTGATAAGTGATTGCTTAGGGGTGGGAAAGGAATGGGAGGGTGGGGGGAGTGATACCCAAGGGGTATCATTCGCAGGGGGTTAAAAAAAGTAGCTATAATAAAGTAAAAACCAAAATCATCAGGCAACTAGAGATCAGAGACATTCTGTAGTGGGGAGGAGGGAGAAGGACCAGGACAGGGGTGGAGAGAACACAGGGACGACGGTGACGGTGCACGCGGGAACTGGTGTAATGAATTTTTTGAAAAAAAGAATTCTAAAGATTGAAGTGCAGATTGCATGATTTTTGTAACTATACTAAAGACCACTGCACTGTACACTATAAATGGGTAAATTGCTTGGTATATGAATTACATCTGAGTAAGACTTACCAAAAAGACACTGGGGAAAAATGGCTAAGTGCCCAGTGGCTTTTAGAATGTTTATTCTTGAACTTAGAGGGAATCTTACTGACTAATACCTTTCATAGTAAGCAAACAACAGTCTGAACACTAGCAATTTTTAATTTTACTTCAGTGTTTTAGTCTTTAATTTATATAAAATTAAACTCAATACTTTTATTTAATATATCATGACCCAATGCTACAAAGCTTTTTCATTCTATCTACCTACCTACCTACCTACCTACAGACCTACCTACCTATGTATAAAGGTACCTGAAATAATTTCACAAAATGTGAAACTGGGGTGAACTGTTGCTCTGTTGTTGCCTAGACTGATTAACATTTCAATAATAATCACGTTTTTAGCTTCAAAGTGCTATTATGAAGAACAAACTACATGTATCAAAATATTAACGCTTATATGTCAGTGGGAGGATTAGGAATTTTTCCCCCTTTCTTTTTCTACTTTTCAAATTTTCCTATAATTTAAATATCTATTAATATAATATTAATAGAAAAAGTTAAAAAAAAAAACTCAAGGAATTATAGGGATATGTAGTGTTACGTTAAATGGTTGTTTGCTTCTTACCTGGGCTCCCTGGGCTCCTTCTGTTGCTCCTGAATGATCTTTCTTCCTGGCCAGATATTGCCCACCTGTGTCTGGTGAAGGAGGGACTGTCCCACTGTCTCTCTTTTACTGGCTTCAAGACAAACAAAAGCAGAGGAGAGTGGTGATGATGAGATCAGAAAGGAAGCCGTATCACGCTTGTGGAAAGGACGGCAATGTAATCTTTGATATTCCCCAACAAAGCGGCTGAGCCCAAGGAGTTAAAAAACCATCAGAGAGAACCCACTAGAATTCCACACCAGAGAGCAGATCACTAAAGATGGAGGTGAAGCATCTCAAGGAACCACCTCCACACAGGTTTAGTACCTGCAGGCTTGCGGCGCAGGGACATCCTGATGAGCTCACTGCCTGTGCGGTAAGCAAAGCGATTTACTTTCTGGTCATAAAACCAGTCTCCAGTTGCCATCTTCAACTCTCTGCGAAGGAATAAAAGAAAATGGCGGGTACATAAAGAACGCCTTTTTCCTTACAGCCAGCAACAGCAGGAGGGAGTAAACCTCCCCAAGGGCTGGGCCTCATTTCCGCCCTACTCAGCCATAGGTGACACTCACATTTCCTTGGCGCACACCTTGCACCTCCAGGTGCCATTGGTCTCCTGGATGCGGCACTCCCGACATACCAGGTGGTTGCAACCCCTGCAGCTGTTGGTCTTGGGAGTCAAGCGACCCAGGTTCTCCTGGCACCGGGCACAGGTCCGATCGCTGTAGTGTTGACTGCCCCTCTTGGCCCCCTTCCTTTTGATCTCCAATAACTCATTTTTCAGTCGCCTGCCAAGACCCAAAAGAGGAGCACACTGGGATTCAGTATATCCATAGATGTATGGAGAGGGGCAATGAAGCCTTGGAATTAATAGTTTTTGGCTCTGTGAAAGCAACAATCTCAGAGCCCAACCTAACCCTATGAGGGGCTGAAAAGCTCATACAAAAGTCCCTTTGAAATTCAGATGTGACAGAAAGAAAAGCCTGAATATCATTGGTCAAAGCTGAGGGAACCCTCACTTTTCTGGGACTCTTACCTAATCCTTTTCTCATCTGCTCTCCGGAGCTCCTCATCTCGTTGTAGAACACTGAGGATCAAATCCCTTTCCACCTCAGACAGAAAAGAGAGGTCAAGGATCTCTGACATGACTTATTCTGTTTT